GTGGGATCGGAGGTGGCCAGTGTCCCCGGAGGGAGCAGTCTAATTCCCTTCACTACTTCCTTTGGAAACAACAACTTTGGACTTGATCTTTGAGCTCTTTCCCTCTGTTTCCATCTAATGTTGGTGTCTTGAGCTCCACCACTACAGGAGGAGATCAGAGAAGTCCTTTGGATGTTGGAGATAGGACTTGTGTGGACCTTGATACAAGCATGGTGCTTCTCCTTGCAGAAAAGCCTGTGTGACCCCCAGTTTGTCTTCTCATGTACCCTGTCCCGACCATGTGGGAGCTGCTGGTGGCCTCAGTCATCTGCTGGACTTGGCTGCTGTGTGCAGAGGGACCCTCTGCTCCTGGGCATGAAGGAGTTGAGGTGTTCTCCTTTGCCTTGATGCTGAGCAGGAGAAAAGCTGTGAAAGGGAAGGGCCCCAGGGCAGTGATGTCAAGCGGGGGAACCACAGGCTGTCCCAGCTGAGTGGAAAGCCCCTGTCATGGAGATGTGGCACCCTGAGGGCTCCCTGTGGTTTCAGGCTTCTCAGCCCAGCAGGAAAAGAGATTCTTTTTTTTGTCGTCAGTGGGGTTTTTTTAATATTCTTTGAGAACTTTGGGATTTTTGCAAACCTTGTGCCTCAAAACAGGACAAGTGGAAATCTAAAAGCAATGATTAGCAAATTCCTACTTTCCACCAAGGGATGAATGTTTACCTATTTGATGTTAGTTAACAGGAAAATTGTAATTTATCTCTCCACCTTTTTAACTGTGACAGAGATGAATGACGGCTTCGAACTAAGCAATCTCAGATGGAAATTCCCTGAAGATCTTGCATCCGTGCAAGGTGCTGGGACAATTTCACAAATACTCTTAAGATACTTTCCAAACTGAGCTTTGCTGTGCTATGCCTTTTCTCACTCACTTTCCAACGTTATTTTTTTTTCATCTTGTTAGAAAACGACCAGGTGCCTTTTGGGCAATCAGACCTTCTGAGGAGGGTCGGTTCAACTTTGCCACGTGCCCACGACATTGCTAATTGTTGGCCATTTGTCAAAAAACAGGCAAAACCTCGAGGCAAATTGGTTTTCCTCAGGACATGGGATTCTTAAAACCAGAGGGATTGTCACTCCTGTGGCCGAGGGTGCTGTAACGTCGCCGGCATGATGTAACGTTAACGAGAGCAAGCCTTGATCTCTGCTTGTCGTGTCCTGGAGCTGTTTGCGGGCCGGCTGCCTCCTTGCACCCGGATCGGCACGGTTGTGGTTCCCAGATTCCCAGTTCCCCTCTCGGTCTCTGCCAGTTCCTCTTGACACCTCCATCAGGGCGGTCTGTAGATGCGCCCTGCTGACGGCGGGCGGCCGTCCTGCATGGGAGAGACAGAGAGGAAGGTGTTTCTTGGGACGTGGAATGGTAGATGTTTATCTTGCCTGGTCAGCTACGTGTAGG